TCTACTCTCCACTCATTGCCTTATCCATAATCACTTGTTCAGATATTGTCTTCTATCTCCCAGTTACCTCTCAACAACTTAAGGGTTCATTCAAATTAGCAGATGTAACGTTGCTATAGAGACTTTCTTCTTGGGAATCTAAAATCTCTGAGTGCCTACATCTAATGCTGTGTTTCTCAACCTGTGGATCACAACCTCTTTGAGGGTCACATATCAGACGTCTTGCATATCAGATATTTATAATATGAGTCATAACAGTAGCAAAATTACAGTTTGAAGTAGTGAAGAGATAATTTTATATTTGGGGATCACCACAACACGAGGGACGGCATTAAAAGGTAGCAGCATTGGGAAGATTGAGAACCACTAATCAATGTATTGAAACCTGCATCTGAGATGTCTAGAACCACAGTACTTGAGGGTGAACAGCAGTTTGCTCCTTCTGACTCACCTTTCTTGCTCTCCTGTCTTATAGGGTAATATAAGTTCTCTACGGGCTCTTTTATATGTTAGTTGCTATAGCTGGCTATGGGTAATTGATAGAATGACCAGGGTGTAACTCATGAAAACCAAAGACCTCAAAATGGCTGGGATAGAGTAGGGGACTCTAGCTGTCCTTCAGCTGCTTCATATTTATTTCAAAGGAAACTTTTCCTCTGCCTCCTGGTCACTTTGTGGGTAGGAGAGGCCTTCAGACCTGCAGTGTGTGTGACCATAGGTCAGGCACAGGCAGAGACTGTGCTTTCCGGTCCCCATGCTTGCTGATTCACTGTGGCTCATCTTGGAGTATGTAGCCACCATCAGTCCAAAGAACTGCAGTGAGTCCACAGAATTGCCCAGCACAAATGTAGCTGCTCTGGCTTGTCCCCGGGTGGAGAAGAGTTCAACATCCAGACAAGGAAGAAGTCTGTGGTTCCATGATGGATAGGTGCCCTCAAGAGGCATCTAGTCCATTAGGTTTAGATGTATTCATCCATCATAAACTTATGACTGCTGCTGATGTGGTAGCCAGTGTTCAGGGTTAGGCAAGGTAAGTTCCTTCCCTCAAAGCCTTGGCCATCGATTGTCCTATGCCTACTTTGGGAGCAAACTGAGCACTTGTCAATTCACCTAGTCTTTTTCTCTTAATCTTTCCCTGCCTGCTGGTTTCTTTCTCATCTACCAAGTATCTATTGACCCCCTCTATCTGCTGACACCACGCTTGCTTATGTGGGGGGGGGGAGTTATAAGCATATACTTGGCTTTTGTGTCGTGGTATCTGTGAAATGCATTAACTCAGGGTTGGTCTCAGGAGTCCAAATTTGAAACCGTCACCATAATGTGCTCTGCTATATATGGCACGGTGTTTTCCTTAGGCAAAACAAATTTGCGTTACTTTGAAAATGAATCTTCCAGCTCAGGGGTAGGTCAAGATGAGGTCACAGTGGTAGAAGGAATTTATCTGAATCTTGGCATTGAGGGGACCCTTGAAAATCTCCCAGTCTGGCTCTGGTAAGTATAGGAAGATGAGCATTGTGGCATGCCAGGAACTTTGGAGATTCGATGTCAATCTTCTTCTCTTGCCATTTATTTGTGTCAATAATCCTTTGCCATTAATAGTACTTATCAGAATTTAAATGTTGGGCAAACTATTGTTTTCATTCTTTTATTATTTTTAATTATGTGTATATGTGTGAGTGTATGTGTCACATGCTTGCAAGTGCCCATGTTGTCCAGAGGTGTCAGGTTGACTAGAACTAGATTTACATGCCATTTTGAGTCACCTAACATGGGTGCTAGGAACCAAACTTGAGTCCTAAGAGTACTGTATGCCCTTATGCCCTTAACCACTGGACATCACTCTGTTATTTCTCTCTGTAATGCTTTTTTCCTAGTCTGCTTTAAAACTTGGGTATCTATTTCTCTCCCCCTTTATAACTCACACCACCAGTTTCCCTCTCTCAAAAGACAGGCAGTCTTAAAGATTCCTTCTGGGACGTTTATCAGGTCTAAGTTTTCTTTCATTCTTCACTCAGCCCATGCATTTACTGCCTTACATCTAGATTACACAGATGTACAGCTAGTTCTCCTGTCTCTTGATAATTTGCCCATCACTGCTGGGTGCTCATCTTGCTTAGACATCGTTTGTGGCTTCAGATGAAGCCCAGGTCAAAGCTGGGCTTTCTTAACCCTGTGTGTCATCTGCAGTCTGCCCACAGGCTCTATTTCCTGAGCTTCTTGTCTGCTCTTACTCAGCTTGAACCCTCAACACGGATTTATTTTTTGCTTACCCCCCCATACGATTTTTGTTTACTTAATATTTAATTGGGCTTTCCTTGTAACTCATCCACAATTCCCTCCTCTTTCCTAACAAAATCCATGTCCAACCTGGAAGGCTCTTATATCTTCCAGCCACTTCTCCACCCAAAGTGATGGTGTGACCTCTGACCTCCCTTAACCTTCAATCCCACTCTTTCTTTCTTGGTCATAAACTGCCACTACTAGGTAGCTGTAATGGTGTAGATTGTCACATGATTCCTTAAACTACTTGCTATTTTTGATGACAAGAGGCAAGACCTCCTATTTTGTGGTCCCAGCAGCATCTAACAGATTTTTCAGGTGTGGCTGCTCATGGGTATCACTTACAAAGTAGCCCAGGGCAGAATCAGTGAGGATATGGTCCACGAAGAAGGAAATAGTGGGGGTTCCCTTGGTGATAAGTATTTCTTGGCTATGAAGCTTAGAGGAGTGGAGAGCCCTTAGTGAATTGGGTGCAGTCCTGGCAATAGACTGTTTGATCCAAGCTACTGGTAGGTCTTTGATCTCTGTGCTGATCTACCTGGGAAATCCAAGGCATTCTTTATGGGTTCCCATCATGTGTCAGGCTGTGGGACTCCAGGAGTTTCATTCAGGTGATTGTAGTAGACAAAACAGATCCCTGCTGTCCTGGAACTTGGGCTGTTGGGTCTGGGGAAACATCAAAAATAAATAGTATCAGGTGATGATGGCCAATGCCGAGGTTAAGTGGCAGAGAGAAAAACTGTTCTTTTATACCAACTAGTCACAAAAATATTCTTCATCTGTCTGAAAGTAGCAAGTGCTTCGAAATGCAGTCTCCTTGGGGATAGGGTTCAGTGGTAGAGCACTTGCATAGCACATGCAAGGACCTGGTTGGGCTTAGTTCCTAGCCTACAGAGAGAAGAGAATAAATAAAACAAACCTAAAACCAAAGCCCATTCTTTGATTGAAATCTAGGAAACAGAGCCGATGGGTTAGCCAGGACAGAAGGAACATTCTTGTTTCCTGCTGCCCCTTCTCTGCAACGAAGGGGCTTGGCATTGTCTACTGGCCAGGGTAGATCCTAGAAAGGGGTGGCAAGAGGGAAAAAGGAGAGGGGTTGGTCCTACAGTAAAAAATAGCCTGGGTGTGGTGCACCCACTCATGAAGGAGCAGAAAACGGCTGTGTCTGACTTGTGGACCCAGGTATGAGCCCTGAAGCCTGAACCTACCAAGTGTTCTGGACTTTGGGAAAGGGGAAATGCCTTAGCCTACTCCAGTCTTAACCCTTCTTCACTGGTCTGGATAATAGTATATCAGCTCTGGATACTCAATTTGCCTTTCGGTTTCCCTTTTCTCATGTCAAGGATTGAAATTCTTACAGTCAAGTTAACAAGATGATTTAACCAAAACTGTAGTTTTTCAGATTTTCTCCATGTCACTAACAGGTTTCTCGTAGCTAGTAAGTGGAAGTTTACTCCAGTGAGAGGCAAGTCTTGTAAATGATGTGCAATATACACCTCTTTGATGGGTTGAGAAGATGGGGTATTAGTTGGATAAATATTTAAGGAAAACAAGGTTCCACCCGCTGAGCTTTTGTTTTTCTGTGAGCCTTGATTTTCCCTAAAGGTGGGCGACCTCTTCCCAGAGGGTATGCTGCGTTGGAGCTGTGTGTGTGTGTGTGTGTGTGTGTGTGTGTGTGTGTGTGTGTACATTTGCTCACGCACGATGTGTGTGTGTGTATGTGTGTGTGTATCCTTCTGCATACATGTCATGAAAAGTGCAGGGGAGTTAAGCTCACTCAGAAGCTTCGAGACAGGGCTTGCTATTGTGTGGGAACCACAGAAACTACTTAAGCAAGGAACTGAGAGCTCACGCGCCCTGGACCAGAGCCGGCAATGGGGAAGTTGAGCCTCTGAGGTGATCTGACCTGTTTGTGGACACCAGCTGCAGAGCTCTGCATGATGACGTTGGGAGCAAGCTCTGCCCACTTGATTCGGGACTTTGGTTCCACGGCACAGAGGTTCTTTCACCTCCTCCTCCTGTTATGACTGCACGTGGGTCATCTCCCTAGGGCTGTTTTTCTCTTTGTGACAAAACACTATCCAAGAGGCCCAGTAAACCCAGCTCCTGAGTGCAATCCCTGGGATGAGGCGTAGCCTCGGTTAGGTGGATGTCTTCTGGCTTTACCGCTGACTCCCTTGGCCTCCTCCAGTCTCAGGCAGTCAAGTCTAGAGCGGCCCTCTGCCTTCGCCCCCAGCCAGCCTGGCCAGAGCTGCCAGCGCGGGTACGGCAAGCTACATGCTCGGCCAACTCCATCCTAGCGAGCGCTCTGGGCTGCCGAGTCGCTCCGGAGCGCTGGGGTTGTGCAGGACGGATGGGATAGCCCGCCTGGCCTCTGGAAGGTCAAGGGCGGTGTGAGGTTTCTGGTTGGTAAGTCCGGAGCTAGAGAAGCCTGGGCTGAGGAACCTTCTCCGCAAGCCCATGTTGGGTGGGGCTTCCCAGGAGGGGCGGGGCCTCCACTGGTCTACGGAGGGGCAGGGCGTCAGGCAGGGGCGGGGCTTCCGCAGATCTCTGG